TTGTGGTTACAAGTTAAATACCTGAAAGAAAGGAATTGTTTTTAGGACTTTTAGGTAGACCTTTTGATCAAGAAGATAAAAAAAAAAATTGTAGCTCTCAGTCTGATTATGTCATATGTTGTCTTTGATTCCTTAATGAAGAGGCAGAAGTGACTCACTTGGGTGACAGAAAACTAGGTTTCCATTCTGAAAAATTCTAACTATAAATTAACATCTTTTTATTAGAAATCAATGACTGTTTCTCAATATTTTTAAGTACTGTGAAAAATTAGATGTTTTTCTAGTTTTATGAAAATTAGAAGTAATTTTCTCGTTAGAGGAAAAAAGGATTCAGGAAAGAAAAAAAAAAACAGAGAAGATAGTGTTTTCTGAACCTCTCATCTTTCAAAAGGAGAAGCTCAATCTCCCCAATTTTCCATTGTTCTAGAGGTAGCTGGGTTGCTCTGCCAGTTTTTTACAGTCATCTTTTACTTGTAGAAAAATTGTTTTTGTGCTATAATTGATATTTGTAAAAACCGAGATCTTAAACCTATAAGAGAGGAAACAGAATTAGTGATTTAAAAACAAAACCAAAGGGTAATAACTTTTAAGCATCATCCACTTTAAAATAAATGGTGGAAAGCAAATGGATTTTTTGTTATAAGGTTCTTGATTTTTTTTTCTTGAAAGGCTTTCTGTAACATCTAAGACACCATTCAGGAAATATTGATAAAACCACATAGTGTTTTTGAAGCATTGGTTTACCCAGGTCTTATAATATACCACTTTAACATTTAAAATAGCAAAGAGGTTGAAATTATACAGACCACTTCCTAAATTATATTGGTAAGTAAGCCAGAGGGTAGTGGCCGGCTTTCCAGCCCACATTGCATTATGTAATGAATGAAGAGCATTGCTGACTACATGGTTGCTAACCCCTGGACACTGTTGTCTGCACTAGAAATCTGCCTCTTTGTCTATCTATTGCTTGCTTCCAGAAGTTGGATGTGTAAGAAATCCATTTACCTAGCCATCTTTTAACTGACCTACTAAAAAAGCCCATGTAAAACCACTATTTTTTAATAGAAGGGAGTAATTTTGTTTATTTT